GTGGTGTCCACCTCACGTTTTTTACGCGGACCTCGCCCACGACCTACTCCAGGCGTTGTCACCGGCTTGGGCAGCTCTTTAGGCTCTGAAGTCTTTGGTTTTTCCGTCGGTTCTTTAGATTCCTCCTCGGCTTTGGATTCCTCTTCGGTTTTGGGTTCCTGCTTGGTGACGGGCTCACTTTTGGACTTCTCCTTCTCCTCCTTTGGCTCAGGTTTGGGTTCCTCTTTGACTGGCGACTTTGTTTTAGCTGTCGATTTTACGGGTTTGATTGCTGGCTTCTCATCTACCACCTCGTCTTCTATTTTGAGCGGATCCTCTTTGATATGCTGCTTATTTTCAGTGCTGGACTTCTCTTTAGGGCCACCTCGAGTGCGCTTGGGTTGCGGCAACTCCGAGTAGACTACAGCGGTGCCTCCGCGTCGTCCAGAGCGTCGCCCTTGGGCCTCAACCGGCGGTGGCGGCGGTGAATCCTCCTTGGGAGTTGGTGGCGTTGCCTGCTTGACTGCCTGGGGCTCTTTTTTCGTAGCGGGCGGCGGTGGCGTGGCTTGCTTCGCTGGTGGAGATGTTGCCCTCTTGGCAGGTGGAGACGCTCCTCGCTTAGCTAATGGAGATGTTGATCTCTTGGCTATAGGGGACGTGGCTCTTTTAGCAGTAGGAGATGTTGCGGCTTTATCTGGGGAAGAAGTTGCCCTCTTAACAGGAGGAGGTGTGATCTCTTTAACGGGTGGAGGTGTGGCTTGCTTCACGGGTGGCGGTGTAGATTGCTTAAACACCGGAGGCGAAGCTTGCTTGACCGCACGAGGCGAAACTGGTAGTGATTCCCGTTCAGCTGTTGTATCCTGCTTGACTTGATGGGAATCTGAAGCTGCTGTCGCGGATTCCTCCTGCGGGAATTGCTGATCATTGTTGCGCATGTGTTTCTCGCTTATTGCGGGCAAGTCCTCGCTGACACTCGCCTCCTTGGACTCCTTTGCCTCTTCGCTGCTGCGGCGCTTACGTTGCAATGTGGTTTCAAAGCCTTGGCTAGGTGGAGCCGAAGTCGAAGATGTAGCAGGAGTCGCTACAACTGTTTCGCTATTGGTGCGCTTTCTAGGCGTTGCCTCCTCGTCACTCTCCTCCTGGCGAATTTGTGTAAGTAGATTCTTCTTCAGTGGCTTCGTAATGGGTGACTTCTTAGGAGGTGTAAAGGGTACAGCATCTCTTCGCTGTGCGCCAGGCGGCGTGATCTCACTAACAGGCTGCGCTGGCGTAGGCGTAGGGGCAGGAGCAAGCGCGAGCGATGGCTGAACTGTCTGTGAATGCTCAGGCAATAGAGGCGGCTGCTGTTGCTGCTCATCTTTTGGTTTCTCTGGAGTCTTCTTCAATTTCTTTTCGATAATTTCAGCCAGCGTCGGCTTTTGCTTGACAGGCGTGGGCTTCTCGAGATGGCGCTTTGGCGCTATGATCTTGCGACGACTGCGCGCATCTTCTTCACCACTCGACGAGGTTGTCTCCTCGATTTGTGTCTTCTGAGCCTCCACTTTGCGCCGTACTTCCACATTGGTGACCTTTGGACGCATTTTAATACGCTTCCCACCAATATCCAAATCATCATCGTCATGATCATCCTCCAGCTGCAGCTCGCCGTGGTCAATCTCACTCTCGGATGTCGAGTGACGTGCAGCGGGCGCTGCAAAGTCGGCCAAACGACGCTTCCGATTGGGCAGCAACATTGTTTTTCTGCTCTGGCTCTCGGCTGGAATTCCTAATTTACTTTCATTCGCCTCCTTTGGTTCAACGAGCTTCACTTCAGATTTGTTTTCCTTAGGCTGTATGTTTTGATTGTCATGTGGGACTGCGACCTTCGAGGTACTAGGCAATTCATTTTGTACTGTTTCCGTTAGTCTAGGTTTGCTGTTAATTTCCGCAGCGGGTTCTGCTAGTTCGTTACCTTCAGACGCAACCGCAGTTTCGTTTGATTTGTCAATATTTGTAGCTGCTTCGGCTCCATTGCCAGCTGCCTTAACAGATTCGCAGGAACTTGCCACTGATGAAGTTGTCTGTGAATCAGTTTCATTTGAAATTAGTTTGATATTTTCTGCAATTGATGGCTTAAGTGGTTCAACTTTGGGTGCTGTGTCATTGTCAGCGGCAACTGCTGCTTCCTTGATGGTTTCTTCCTTAGGCTCTTCCTTGCCAACATGGTTCATATTTAAGTTTATATCATCTTTGATTTTTTCAACGACGCTTTCAACCTTTTTTCTTGTTTCCAATTCATCTTTTACGTCTGTCTTTTCCGTTTCAATTATTTTCTTCACAATTTCTACTGATTCATTTGAGGTCTCTATGACCCTCACCTTATACATTTGCTCGACGCTTTCCTCTACTGACTTTTCAGGGTTTTCATCCACATTTTTTTGTTCATTTGAGATTGGTTTTGGTTCTTCCGTCTTATCAGCTACATTTTCAGCTGGTTTTTCTGCTGATTCTTTTTCGACTATATTAGCGTTAGTTTCATCTGCAATAATTTTGTCATTAGAGTTTAATTTATCTTCTTGCTGCTCCTGCTGCTCGTCCTGTTCCGGCGACTCATTACCGTTAAGCACTACCGTTATTTTCTCATTATCATTCTCCGTTTCATTAGGCTTTCGACTCTCTCCATTCGTTTTCTCGGGTTCTGGTTCTCGTTCTGGGTCACCCAAGCTATCGAATATGCTTCTTTTCGCTTCCTGCTTTGGCGTCTGTTTAATGGGACTTAGTTTCAGACAGCCCGGTTCGCCAAAAAAGAATGTCGCCTTTGGCTCAGGCTTTGAGGAGGCCTCCTCGTCGTTGGCTTCGGTGTTGCCATTGTTTCCCACCAGACAATCAGCGCCACTTCCAGAGCCATGCACAAAGAAGACTTCTTCAACGATTGCTTCACCAACACAAGGATCCAAAACACTTTCCTTATCCACAAATGCGTCAAAAAACAGTAGATCGTCTGGCAACGCTTGATTTTCATGGCCAGCTCCGTGTCCGCGAACTATTAACGTGGGCTCTTCAATGGGCTCGCCAACTTCATTATCTTCGTCATCTTCTTCCTCTTCCTCCTCTTCGTTAAATTTTTGCTCGTTCTCATCTTCGTCGGCAGCAGCACTATCAAGCGATTCCTCCTCTCCTTCGAGTGATTCCTCTTCCTCCTCCTCTTCACCCTCATCTAGCTCCGAGTCCTCCGAATCCACTTCGTTATCATCTTCGGACTTTGTGCTCTCATAGCGACTCGGCTTTTTAATACGTTTTGTGTCAAGCAGCGTAGGTCGCTGCTTCTTTTGAGGATCCTCAGACGCTAGCGGTGGACTATTATCCACATCTTCCAAAGGCCGTTTCTTGGCCGGTGCAGGTGATCCGCCCAGTTTACCTTGTGTAATGACCAGTGGCTGCAAAACAATCGGTGTAATCAAAGGAAACCGTTATACAGTTAACAAACTCACCTTGACCTTCTTGGGTTTAATATCCGATTCCGATTGCTCCTGCTGCTGCTGCTCAGGCGTACGTAGCTTAATCTTTAGATTGGGCACTTTCGCTTCGTGCGAATTATCATCATGTGGCTCTTGCTGCGGCACAGCTGCCGTTGCCTGTTGTGCAGCCTGACTACTGCTGCTACTGCTTGTAGTATCCTCATCCGCTTCGCCAATATCCTTGGAAGGTAGCACCACTTCATTGCCGCGCAGACGTGCAATTAGGTTAACAAATTCATCACGATTTGTGGCCACCACCTGCCATATCTCCTCGTCCAAATGCTCCTGATAAATGCGCAAATTGCAATCGCCATCCTGCGAGAGCCAATAGGAGTGACCCAAGCGATCGCGTCCAATAGGCTGGGCGCGCAATGTGGTCGCATTTAGCGTTTGAATATTTGCACGAAACTTAGCATTGCGCTCAAATTGACTCTCAAGCAGTTCCTGATTGCAAAAATTAATGGATTAATAATTGACTTTAAATGGGAAATTACAGAAATAACTCCTTTTTTATACTCACGCGTAGAATACGTAGCTTGACCTTAAGACTGGAATTCCGGTAACCGAAGCGTTCAATCTCCCAGGCATCCTGCAGGGAATACCCGAAACAGAATTTACTCAGCGCTGATTCCCAGCTCTTTTCGTGAACCGTTTTTCGTGTCTTGCGCAACAGTTTAATGTGAAGATCTCGCAGCTGGGGCACTAAAAACACATGAAAAGAAAACGTGTGTAATGTTAATCTAAATGTTGTGATTGTTGTTGTTTTTGTTGCGTTTTCTCTTTCAGCTGCATTTTTTACGGTCTCCGCTTTACTCCATACCAAACAATAATACAAACAATCGAGCTCTCTTTCTCTCGTTGTCACTCTCGCTCTCTCAGTTGCGAGTCACACACACACGCACACGCACTCTGACTTGCACAGTTGCATACATATGCACGCACACACACACGCATACGAACCTTCATCGTTGTTTGTCAACCACTCCTGCAAATGCTTGAAATTTGGCAATGCCAAGCCCAAATCTTTGGCAAATTTTTGCAAAAATGCACATATTACTGCAAAATCTGGATCGTTTGCACACGAATGTAACGTTGTAGTTAATGCATCGTCATCTTTATCTTTACATTCTTCTTTACATTCAGCCGTAGCTGAAGACGCCGCCATTTTTCATGCGTCTGCTGAAAAAATGTGTTAGGCCCTCAAAAACTTGTACAAAACACTGGCAAAATAGCAAAAGCAGTACTAATTATGCACTGCATTTGTTTTCACTTCAAGTACACCAAATGCAAAACGAGTTATTGCACAAATTAATCATAGTTTTAATAAGTTTTATACTATTACTTTATTTTTCGACGCATGAGAACCGATAGACAACCGATAAACTGTGGTGGTCGCACAATACGCACATCGAGATGACCGATTGTTGTCTCAACGAAATTTACTCACTTAACGAAACTACTCAATTGGCAATGTTCAGATGATTTTAGCTATTGGGGTATTAACATTTGTTTGAAAATGTAACAGAAGCAAATAAGAAGAGCGTAGAAAAACAACAAAGACGGATAAAAACAACGGTGAAAATCGAATTTCTATCTCAAGCGACTCACAGTGTTTACTCTTTGTTAATTTATTGCGTTTTAAATTGCGAAAAAGAGTAAAGAAAACAAACAAAAATTTAAATCAATACGAATCAAACGCGAAAGAGCAGTGAAAGTGAGTGTGGAACAAGAAATTTTTCGCATTGAAAAAAAAAAAACAGCTGTAACAGATTTCTAAAATGGCAGCATATCAAATGAATTTCAACCAGGATTTTACGTAAGTTGTAACAAATTAGCTACCCAATATCTACCCCAGACCAACTTTTGCACACCTACTCACAGCCTTCTTTCGAAATAAAGGTCATTGAGCAAAAAAAAAAATTGTAATCGCAAAAAAAAAACTGCGATACAACAAACGACAAATGAGACAAGTAAACAAGCGAAACAGCTGGTGGGCAAAGGGGAGGAGGTGAAGCACAGCGGGTGAGGGGAACAATGGGTGCTAATAGCTGAACTGTAACAGCGCCTATAAGTACGGGTGCGTATGTGTGTGTGTGTATCTGTTTATTTTTGTAAGTGTGTGTGAGCGTGTATTGGCGTCGTTTTGCTTATTAGAACATGCAAACAACCAGTTCTAATAAGAATGACATGCATACATTTATTATGAAATATGGGTAATGACAAACAAGTACACTAGCCAGCAAATTAAAGAAATCACCTGACTGCATCAATAAAACAAGTTGACTCAATATAAAAACCGCGATTGTGCATAAATTTAGGCATAAAATTAGCTAGAGTGAATCTGACATCATCTTAACATTAACAGAAATGTTAGCGCTCACAATTGTTGTTTGCTAAACAGTGTAATAAGCAGTAGCCAGCACACACATGCATACACAAACAAACAAGCACACACGCATACTGTAAATGCGCAACAGCTGATGCTGTTTGCTTTGTATGTATTTTCTACAGTGCTTGTGACTGACTTGCAAGCTGAATAAACTTGTATAGCTTCTTTTATTTTAAATTTTTTGCTAATTTGTTTTTGTTTGGAAGCATTGTTTATTTTTGCTCAGCTGATGTCATATTGCGGTTAGCTCGCTGCCCGAACCACCGTTACTTGTCGAGCATCTAATGGACTGGTCTCCCTTTCTTCCACTATTTCTTGCACTTTGCTCTCGCCAGTGCAAGTGACGCACAAACAAAAACAATCAATATTTCTGCTTATGGCGAAAATCCAAAAAAGAAAACACTTAAAGCTATGTATGTGAGTGTGTCACTCATACGATTATATGTACATTCTTATATTATTCATACACACACACACTCACACATACATGCATGGGCAAACTGAATTATATGAGCAGCAACAATAACAAGCCTGATAGTCTCGCGCCATAAAGCGAGAACAAAGAACTCAGAAAGCAGGTTGCTAAAAAGAGACAGCATGCAAAACGCTTTCTAATCAGAACAAATCAATTTGCTTTTAAAAGCCTTTTGCAGGTGAATGTACAGCAAAATCGAACTCAATTAGGCGTTTGGCTGTACATTCGATCAAGCGTCAAGTTCAAGGGCAAAGGTGCAGTGGCAGAGTCGAGCCGAGTCGAGTCAATTATAGTGATAATGATAATGGCAATGATTGGGCAACTATGAACACGTGTTGCTATCACGACCATTGTTCATTGAGCACGAATAGTGCAGTTATTTCATAATGTCTCTGTTTTTGTTTACACCAGCTGTTTGCCCGTGCGTTTCGCGTCTCTCATACCCTACATATACGTTATGTGAGTGCAAGGGAATATAGTTTTTCAAGACAGATTGTTACAAAATTAGAATTAATTATTTTGTTTTGTTTATTTCACTAAAATTGTATTGTAAGCGTGTTAAAAATTGTTGTTACAAATTTCAGCTCTTATTTTTAATCCCTTTCTCTGTTGATGCTAATGAACCCTTATCAGCACTTTTGCCCGAACGTTTTAATTTATGAGTCCACTTTGCTTCGTGTTGATGTTTTCATTTTTGCTTCCGATGCGTCATTGAAAACATACAAAAATATTATTGAGCAAATGTGTGGAATGCTCTGCTTTAGTTTAGCTGTTGTTAGTAAACACCGCAAAGGGGAATATCGCAAAGTAAAATAAAAACAGCAAACCGCAGACAAGGTCGTCGTGTTATAATTTTGCAAGGGGGATCTGAATGCCTCTCTCATACAATTCAGCATGGCCTCGAGCACCATTTTTTTTTTTTTTTTTTTTGCGTGAACGCCTTTGGCGCAAAACTAGTTTTAATACTGAGAACAAAAATAAACACGACTGAGCAACACACGTGTTGCGCTCATCGCCAGATTTTTGGCTCTGGCTTATCGTTTTGGGGTTTGGCGGAGAAACGTGCCTGACATAAATTACGAGTAAATGATAATAATAAATGCTAACATGTTCATGGTCAAAACGGCTTTGCATTAATTCCAGTGCGAAACTCGTGAGCAACAACAATTAAACTTAAAAGCTTTCAGTATGTTTTTTCCCCAAAGCAAAATTCAAAGTTACCGCGTCTTCTGATTGTTTAACAGCACTGTTGCTTCACACTGAATAAACACGATTTAATAAAAAAGACGCTCATGCAACATTTTTATTATAATGTGCCTTATATAAATATTGATAGATATTGATCAATAAATAATACACAATAATACAATAATTAAGCAAAATGTTCCTATAGCCAATTAAAAGCTTTTGGTATGATTTGCTATAGCAGATAGTGTAGAATTTAAATTTCCCGCGTAACGCTCACGTTTAACAGCACTGTCCAACAGTGTGGCAGCTCGTCGCACTGAATAAATACCAACTAAAATACCAAAGCGCAGCAAGCGCAAGCCAAACATAAACAACAACAAACACGAATTGCATTTGACATTGAAAAAAGGCGAGAATTGGAAAATAATTGGGTAATTACATACCTGAGAAAGAAAGAAAGAAAGAGAGAGAGAGAGCGTGTATGTGTGGAAAATCAATTCGCACGCCATGGAGCAGCGCGCTAATTTTCTAGCTCTCACACTGCTCGACGCCCTGGAGGATGAGAACGAAGCGGATATATTCTCAATGCTGGATCGAAACGTCATCAATGCGGGCATCGTGCCCTGCGAAAGAGGCTTGGCCCCGCTGCACTATGTGTGCGGCATGCCGAACGAGGCGCTGGCGTTGCGTATACTTGAACGCTTCCTCGCCAGCGATCAGATAGATGTGAATGTGCGCTGCGATGGGAACATGACGGCCCTGCACATTGCGGCAATCTACGGACGAACGGAGCTGGTGCGTCTGCTGCTGAAGCACGGGGCACGGCCGGACATTGCGGACGATGAGCACAAGCTGGCCGTGCACTATGCCATCGAGGAGTGCCACTTCGAGGTGTTGCAACTGATGCGCGACCATATCTACCGGGAGAAGCAGCAGCTGAAGCTGCAGCAGAAGTCCTTGACGCCCAAGGCGACACTGAAGTACAATCACGATGTCACCTCGCCCTACTACATCAACATAACTCATCGGCGTGGCAAGCCGCAACCACGGTTTCCAGATGACGCGGAGCCGGAGCCGCAGCCGGAGCACGAGCAGTCAGTCAATCTATTCGCCCTCACGCGAGATCATCTGGCCGAGCTGACGCACAATCAGGATGTGGCGACGTGCGGACGTCGCACGCTGATCGAAAGCTGGCGGGATAAGGTGGAGCGTTCGCGTGCCCGCAAATCGTTGCTGCAGGAGCAACAGGTGGAGATGCTGGTGGAGCAGGCTATGGCGCAAGAGGACTTTAGTTACGAGGAGCATGTGCAGCAGAGCTTCAGGCAGACGGCACAGGAGCCGGCAGAGGCGTCCAGCGTTCCAGCAGGGCGAGCTGCCTTTGGCCAGCTGGTGGAGCAAGTGGCTCAGGCTTGTGTGCTGGAGCAGAGTTTCTATACAGCCCCAGAGGAGGAGGAGGAGCAGCGAGAGCAGTTGAAGCAAGAGTCGGGGGATCAGCAGAAGCAGAGACAAAAGCAGCCGCAAGACAAATCCTATTATCTGCAAATGACCGAAGCCTATGTGCACACGGATGACGAGAATGGCCTGGTCTTCTACGAGACGAAGCTGCTCCAGAATGGCGAGCCCAAGAAGCAGCTGACGAAGCGCATGCCGAACCACTTGCAAGTCCCGCCAGCATCCGTGCAGCTGGATAGCAGCGCCAGCACAAATTTCACAGTGCCGCTGGACTACGAGACGGACGCACTGCGTGCAGAACTGACGCAGCTGGGCGCTCCAGTGGGACCCATTACGCGCACCACCAAGCGGCTGTATATCAAACAGTTGATCAAGTACAAGAGGAACACGGCGGCCCTGCTGGCGGCGCAGAGGCATGCGAAGGCGGCGCAGATCAAGTACTCCGTGGAGCTGCATCATACGTTGAGGTCGCAGGAGGATTACGAGCAGATTGAGCGGTTCATGGTGCACGAGAGCGCCTCGGCGCAGCACTTTGCCACAGCTGGAGCTGGGGGCAGTGGGAAACAGCTGCGGGAGGGGCATCTGAAGCAGAGCTTCATCTATATGCTGATAGATCCGAGGATCTCGAGGAATTTGCCGGGAGAGCGAGCCTTTGTGGATCCTCTAAGCATTTGGTCTCGCTTCCTGGATGCCATTTTCTATGTGGGCAAGGGCAAGTGCTCCCGGCCCTATGCCCATCTCTACGATGCAATGCGTCAGCATACGCGCCTCCACCTGCAGCAGCACCAGCAACCGTCGGAGAATGGGAAAAAGCGTCCAACTGGACGTGGCCTGCTGATGCCGGAGCTGTTCAAGTCGCCGCCGGCGGGAAATGCCAAGGCTGGGAGCAAGAAACTGCAGCGCATCCTGGACATTTGGCAGCATGGCAGCGGCGTTGTCTGTCTGCATGTCTTTCACAACATAATGCCCACGGATGCGTACACGAGGGAGGCAGCCATCATCGATGCTCTGGGTCTGACGCATTTGACCAATTTGAAGCGCGGGGATTACTATGGGCCGGCGCAGATTTGGACGATAAAGCAGAAGAAGCAGCTGGGCATTGCATTGCTTTACAAGGCGCTGCACATTTATTTGGCCGAGGGCGAATCTCAATTGTCGCCAAGTGATTTAATTTAGTTAGTTGTCTCTATTAGCAATAAGTACAAAGTACAAAAGTTGAAAAGCGCGCCAAAGCAATTGTTAGCGGGATCTCAATTAAAGTTTAGCAACAATTGAAAATACTATTAAAATGAACTAGAATGCTTAGAATGAATTAAAAATGAACTAAAAAACACTTCGCTGGTATTTGTTTGAATTTGGTATTTTTGCGCACGTATAGCTGTCACGCTCTTTCGCACGCTGCTCAGCTCTAAACTGCTCTTATTTGTTGCGACATTTAGTTGTTATTTGTTTTCTATTATTATTTATGCATAAACAAAGTTGAATAATTATTTGCTGATGTATAGTCAGAGCTATTGCCTTGTAAATACGCATACATACTCTGCTCTTTATACATACATAAAAATGTTTATTTATTTTTTACTGCGTGTCATGTCTTGCTGATTGCATATCAAAAGTGTGTCAAGGTTGCGGGTTCGAATGCCAGCGCAGCCAAATCAAAAAAGTTGTATTTAATTTATTTATTCCATGCCAATTAAAGTAAAATTATTTTTAAAAATGTTTCTGTATTAAAAATGTTCAATAACAACCCTTAAATATACTCATATAAACTATTCCTTATGCAGCTGCCGCTGACCATTAACCCTCTTTCCCAATGCATTTGCGGCTCTTCCCTTCCCAATGAAAAACCCAAATGCTAATAGAGGACAAAAAGGGATGCATTTGCCGAGTGCTCACACACACAACAAAAGTGCAGCCGAAAAGCATGCTATCGAAATTTTGAGTATTTTTATGGTTAGGTTACTTAGAATTCTCAACTGGTTATGACTGCACGCGGATGGAGTAGCCGTTGCTTACGTGAGTTAGGTTATCTTTGCGCAGAGGCGATATCGTAACCAATGAAGTTCTACTGAGGTGCGATTATTGCTAGTTGAAAACTTTAACCAATACCCCGCCATGGGGACGTGAAATACCGTCCACTACGGCAATTTTTGGAAGCCCGAGAGGGCTCATTATTTAATAAATGGAGAAGAGAGTGAAGTGGATGTGAATTGAATTGGGAGGGGGAGGTGGGATGCAATCGATGTTTTATAAGTTGAATAAAAAAGAGCATATATGAAATTAATTTGAAATATGCTGATTACTTTAAATTAGGGCTAAATAAATTATTAAATATGGTGATAAATTAGTTTCATTGAAAGCAGTTTTAAATACTACATTCTTATGAAACATACTAAATTTGCCCGGTTATCTATTCTTTAACGTCCCACAGCTCACTTTCTGTGCTGAGCAGCGCGGGACTGCGTCTGTATTCGATTGCCGGCCAGGACAAGGTTGAGGAGATCTTCGCCAAGGACAATACAGAGCAAATACGCATTGTGGAGCGGCTCTTCAACAGTTCGCTGGTGGTGCTGGTCACCTCACAGAAGCCCAACTGCCTGAAGATGCTGCACTTTAAGAAGAAACAGGACATCTGCAATTGCTTCTATCCCTCGGAGATATTGTGCGTGCGCATGAATCGGCAACGTTTGATTGTCTGCCTGGCGGAGAGCATACACATACATGACATACGCGACATGAAGATCCTGCATTCCATTGAGAATATCGCACCCAATGAGCTGGGTCTCTGTGCGCTCTCACTGAACTCCCACCTGGCGTTCCCGATCTGCCAGGCCAGCGGCGAGCTGCGCATCTTCAATGCCAATAAGCTGCGCACTGGCATGACGATCAAGGCCCATGACACGCCCCTCTCAGCGCTCACGTTCTCGCCCAGCGGCGCACTGCTGGCCACCGCCTCGGAGCGCGGCACTGTGATACGCGTCTTCTGCGTGAAGAACGGCCAGCGGGTGCAGGAGTTCAGGCGCGGCGTGAAGCGCTGCGTGAGGATCGCCTCGCTGGTCTTTGCGGCGGCCGGCGATTATCTGTGCGCCTCGTCCAACACGGAGACGGTGCATGTCTTCAAGATCGACAGCCGGGCTGTGGAAGTAGCGGAGCTGAAAGCAATAGGTGAGTCAATGGGATTACGAAAGAAAGCTCCTCTTCTCTAACCAATCTTATCTGCTCCAGCTGAAGTTGCCGCCAAATCAGATAGCAATGCCAAAGAGCAAGCAACAGCCACGACGACGACCAAGACGAGTTCCTCTTCTGCAGCGCCAGCAGCGAGCACTGCCGGCAGCACTACTGAGGAGGCAGCAGAAGCAACGCCTGGCGGCAGCACAGCGGCCAGCTGGGGCGGCATGTTCACCAAGGCGATGTCCTCGCTGCTGCTGCCCTCCCAGGTCAGCGATGTGCTGGCCCAGGATCGCGCCTTCGCCACCGTGGTGTTGCCCCAGCCCGGCCTTAGGAACATTTGCGCCCTGACCCGCGTACAGAAGGAGCTGCGCCTCCTGATCGCCTGCGAGGATGGATTCCTCTACATGCACGACTTCAATGCGGAGCGCGGAGGCGTCTGCAAGCTGCTGGCCGTGCACGACTTAAGGGGCGCTCTCGAGGATGTCATCGAGCTGCAGCTGAGCGAGAGCGTGCTGAAGGCCCAAACCCCCAAGGCGCTCCCACAGCAATCCCTGACCATGCTCAAGAGCTGTGCGGCCAGCGTGCTGATCGAGAATCCAGATCCCGTGGCGGACAACAGCTATGCGGGCATACTGCGCGGCGAGCAGGCGGATGCCATGTCAGGTGAGTGGCGATTTGATAAAAATAATAGGGCAATAATTAAAAAAAAAAGAACATTATAATAAAATTTCAAGTAATAATCAAAAATTATTAGATAATACAAATTAAAATCGAATTAAAAATAAACAAATTATAATATATAATGCAATTATTAATAATAACAAAAGCAA